GACGCTCTATCCACTGAGCCAAACCGGTTAGGGCTTTTCAGTTCTCTTTAAACTCTCCGATGATATCAAGAGTGAGACTTGATTTGCTTTTAGTATGTCCTTACACCTTTCTGCTTCTTGGTAATGTCTCTTCTTTGTTAACAGAGAGAACAGGGGTCCGGCTCAGAAGCTGCAGCAGGCAATAGGTTCAACTAGAGTTTAATAACCTTATTTTGTTTTTATTATCTTCAAGATAGGGCAAGTCATACTGGTTTTCCACTTACAATACTGAAAAAGTTTGTATTGTAAATGAAGTCATTAGAGTAAAAGAAAATGTGGCAGTTTAAGGAAACAATTTGAAGTGGATAATGTCTTGAAGATGGTTGAAGTTTGGGAAACAGGCCTCTGGATTCGAGCAGGGCCTTTGTGGGTGGACAGGGCTTGGGAAGACAGCAAAGAAGAGGGAGGCCTCGCCTCGCCATGGATACTTCTTAATGTGCTCATTGGGTAATTTTTTCTTTTTTTTTAAATATGTTTTTTATTGATTTTAGAGAGGAAGGGAGAGGGATAGAGCAATAGAAACATCGGTGCGAGAGAAACATCAGTTGGCTGCCTTCTGCGTGCCGCTGCACCAGGATGGGGCCTGCAACCCAGGCATGTGCCCTGACCTAGGTCAGTGGTTGCTAGAGGTCTGGGGAGGGCATGGCAGGCTGCAAAGGGGCTAGACCAGGGAGTGTTTGAGATTATGGGGCTGTTCTGTGTCTTATTGTGGTGGTAGTTACAGAAATCACTACACATGTTAAAATTCAGACCTGTACACCCAAAAAGTCCATCTTATTGTATGTTAGTTTAAAAATAAAAGCGAACTCCCACACTATAGAAGTAGCTCCAGGGTGCAAAGCACAGAATTGAAGAGCTAGAATAAATGCAGCATTAAAGCAATAAAAATGGAATAAAAAGTATGAAAACCATAAAGTCACTTCCTGTCAATATGTAAATAGACAGAAGATGAAATTTACCACAAAAGCTAACCACAGGCTCTTTACACGTTTGATTGCAAAAGCCTATTGAAGTGGTTCCCACGTCCGTTTTTGAAGATTCACTGTTCACTTGTAAGAAGCTGTGCACGGTGCTGCGCTTATTTAAAATCTCAGTAAAGCTTCCATCCCACTTTAAAATATATATCTTTTATTGATCTCAGAGAGGAAGGGAGAGAGAGCTAGGAACATCAGCGATGAGAGAGAATCACTGATTGGCTGCCTTCTGCACGCCCCGTAT